CCATTTGCGTTCACACATACAGCTCATCCCAAAAATTTCCAGGATGTTTTTTAAGGAGTTTTGTGCACATGTGAATCGGGCTATTCTTACCTTCCTGTGTTCAGGAATTCAAACTACTGCTACTAGTGCAAAGCTTCTGGGTGCATCTATAACACCTGTTGTCAGTATGACTGTGTGTGTGTGTGTTGCACAAAGAAGGGTGAATGCTTTTACAGCCTCATCAAACACATCTCGTCTAAATGAGGATCTTTTTAAAAATCCTAAAATGTTACAAGTGTGAGAATAATGGTCAGGATTAAAACAAGCCTTTAGGTTTTCTTTTTCTTCACTGACAGTTCTTGGTTCGGCTCACTTTTAATACCGACCATGAGTTAGTCATTTTCCATTTCCATAAATTCTGTTATATACAGTTACCAATTTGTGTTGTTGTCACATTAATCCTTCCCTGCTGCAGGAAGGTAATCCCCAGGATGTCTACAGGCTGCAGTGGAACTCCACATTCATGCTGATGTTCCCCAAACTTTACTGTGACTGTGTCGACTTACGTGGGCGGGGCTGTGTGTGCAGCGCCTGCTCCAGGTCGCCCAGCATGGTGAGGATCACCTCTTTATCCAGCTGAGCTGTTCCCTCACGAGGACCTCCCCCTGAGACCTCCTCCTCTGCCCAGTATCCTCCATCCTTCTCCTTCGCTCCCTTCTTCCCTACACCCATTCCTACCACTGGCTCCTCGTCTGAATGTTCACTGCTGACCTCTTCGTCCGCTCGGACCTCCTCCCTGGACCTCCTGGCCGGGTCCGCCCGAGGGTGGCCGCCGTACGACGCCCGTTGGGGTCTCCCGCTCGCCCCCTTGCATCGCCAAGGCACCGGTATGAGGGAGTGCTCTGATTTTGAGAGCACCTTAGTGAGGGAGAGCGATAAGGATCGAGCCCTGGTGCCCCGCGCGCCTCCACCCCTCGCGGCCGCCTCCTTCCTCGGGCTCCCCTGCAGGCTACCTCCTGCCCTCTGCGGTGACGACGAGTAGGGCGAGGAGTTTGGACGCTGCGAGAGACGAGGCGGCGGGTCGTCGAGCTCGAAGGAGTACACCCGCTGCTCCCCGTCGCTGAGCAGGGTCAGGTTGGTGAGAGAGCGCTGCTTGATCCGCAGGTTGAGGTTGTCGGGGAGAGGCTGCGGAGGCCGTCGAGCCGGGCTGCCCCCCTGGTACACCGAGAACTCTGCTCCTCGCTTCATCCCTGCTCCCCTTACCTTTTTTCTCTTGTGGCTCAGAGAGTGAAACTATGCAGCTACCTGTGTGCAGCTCTCTGATTCACATCTTGGCTGCGCTGTCAGCGTGAGAGAGCAGATGAAGGGAAGGAGGAAGTGAAGAACGAAGGATGTTGTGTCCCCCACGTTTCCAGGCGACCGGACCGAGGTCCAGGTTTATGGAGAGCTGAAGTGCAGGGTGTAGAGCAAGGAGAGAAAACCTCTCCCTCTCAGGCATGTAGGTAGAATCCAGATCCATCCTCGATCCAGCCCATACTCCTGGTCAGACGCTCAGCGACGCACAAACCTTCATTTCCTCCACTCCTTCCCCTGTCCTCATGCTGTCTCTCTGTCTTCTCAGCTCCCCTTTTCTCTGCTTCTTCCACAGTCAGGGGCGTGGATGAACGAGTCGCTCCATCTCCTCTCCCCTCACTAAACACGTACTCTGGGCTTTTCTGCGCTCACACTCTCTCTTTATCTTCCTCCCTATTAAATGACAGTCTCTTTCATTCACTCTTATCTCTCTCTCCCCTGCACCTTCTGTCCCTCCTTTAATTACCGCCTTACTGCCACACTCCTCTCGTCTCCCCCTCTGACTCTCTTGACGGTCTCTCGCTCCTCGCAGCGGAGTGGTGGTGAAACCGGCAAACGGAGCTCACACAGCTCTCCGTCTGCTTGATCTTTCCAGCATGCAGCCTGCAGCACTCCCTCTCTCTCTCTCTCTCTCCCTCCCTCTCTCTCTCTCTTCTCTGTGTTTATCACCCTCTCTCCTAATCCCTCTCATTCTCTCACTTTCTCTTCACTTCCCTCCTCTTTCCTGCTCTTATCTTCCCTCCCTCATACTATCATTCCCCCCCTTTCTCTCCCTCTCCCCCCCACAGTGTGACAGTGAGTTGTTTGGACAGTGCACCTGTAAGCTTGCAGCCCCCCCCCACCCTGCACCAAGCCGACCGCCCGACTTAATTAAATGCTACCTTGAGGAGCTAAAGCGGCGAGCCCACAGCTTATCACGGATCAACAAAGAGAACACAGAACCAACATATCCCCATCAATCAGGGCTGCCTTTATTAGCTCTGTCACGATCAGTCACGGCTGTCTCACATTTTCCAATCTTGGTTATCAAATTGCAATCAAGGTTTATCCTAATCATGTGTTCCTACTGTGAGCCAATCATCTGCATCTGCAGCTATCTGGCTCATCACAAGTTTTTGCGTTTAAATTCATTATAAATTAACCCTCTGAGATCTGCAACAAAATCCATCAGTGAAAACTGTGCTGAGTATCTTCAAATGTTAAAAATCCCTGAAATATGTACTGCCCATATTAATGTACACTGTGCATTAGCTACTGGGAATTAGAATTGATACATTGAATGGTGGCTGGTGGAACATGTAGAGCTTAGTTTGTTAGCTTGGTGCTATAACACATAAATGGAAATTCCCAATAATGATGCTAAGAGAACTAGCATCGCAATCTCAGTCATTTTAACTCAAGAAACAATCGCTTTCATACGCGTCAATGTTCACCACAGTAGATCATTTCTTAAATTAAGAGATGCCAAGTTTGTTTCATTAAATCTCTACTGTCTGTAACCATACAGCTGTGTAATGTTTTTAAAAGTCGGCGTCATGTGGTCCGAATTAATTTAACACAAATGATCAGTAAATCAAGGGGATATGCGATGACACCTGTCACTCATTTACACTACAGATGTGATTGGATGAGGATGCTAGAGCTGTAAAAAAAGTAAACCCATTTAGAGCCTTTGTTTGTCTTGTAACTACGAGCTTCGGTTGCTACGCTCGGTTCCACAAATTTTAAAACAATATGTTGTAATTGTTTTTATTTAAAGGATCATTTTGAATCTTTATTGTATAGGAAAGGGAGGGAGCCCTACTAACTCATTTATACCAGCAGTCTCTGTATATATAATACAACAGGATTTTGCACCCCTTGTTTTTGTTTGGATATTGTCCATCTTACAGGTTAAGCCTATATTAGTGAAGCTGGCTCTTTATGTGTTACTTGTGGGATACATCCACTTAAACTTCCCTCTCAGAGATTCCTTTACGACCATCTATAGAAGAAAGAAAGATGTACAATAACCATGAAATGTGTAACAACAGAAAAGGCAAGTGTTTGAAATGGCCTCCAAACAAAGGGAATGGTCGGTGCTGCAGTCTAACTTTATCCGTCAAATGATGGGCTTCAGAAAAGCCGCGAGCAAAGCAGAAAGGTTTGGAATGTCACTGACAGCCGGACAAACCAAACCCGTAATCACACGCTGTTGTTTTTCTACTCCGGGCTTTGAACCTGACGTCTTGGTTTTCATTGAGTTTGCCGTTTATTATCAAAGTTGACCTGTTCTATTGTTTTAATAACAAGGATGATCATGATCCATATTTAGATATCAACCACTTGAATCAAGTACAACTTTCTGATTAAACAGAACATTTACAACAATGCCCAGTAGTGGAAACCTGCATTATTTCAAAACCTCAAACAAGCCACACAACCTTTACTTTAGATATTACAGATGTATGTCAGGGTCAGAAAAGGTAATCGGATAACGAAGCAGTGAAGCTGAAGTCTTCATTTCTGACCATTTGAAACAATGGAATCCTTCAGTGCCAGCTGTTTGTGTTTGATGATGTGTTCCTTGATTGAACCCTCTCAATTTCAGTTTGTGGTGAGACGCTCCTTCAAACTGGTCAAACATCCCTCAACCCTGAGGTCTCAGCTGCAGAAGCTCAATCACTCCGATGTCCACTGACAGTAATTAAAGGGAAATCAAGATGTTTGCAGAATTCCCTCATTCAAAAAACACCCAAAACAAAACATACAATTTGAATGCACGCAGTAGTTCTTCAGCTGGAAAGGTGTTATTGATAGTCGAATGAAAACAAAAACTACATAATGTACAAAATAAAAGATTTGAGTACCCTAAATTCTGCCGTATAAGATGCACTCTTAAAACATTGTTTTTCATCTTGAAAGTGTGCTGCATTCTTCATACTGTACCTGTGTGATCAATAATCAATACAGCAGCATACTGTAAAACGCTGAGAGGTGTTTTTATGGTCAAATTATATCTCAAGCTATGTCACAGACGTGAGCTGTCATGACCCAAAGCAAAGTTGCTACAAACATCCCCTGCAGGCGATCTGACATGAGTCAAAATTTGACTCCATTAATTGTGTATTGCAAGCCGTAGCTTTGATGCGCATAGCGTGCTGGGATATGTATTCATGAGGTCATAACCATGCATTAAAAGGAAACAGAGGTATGTAGGTATTTATTTATGTACTGCTACATAAATAAACCTTGTGGAGTTCTGGTTTGATTGTAAAGTCTCCTGTGATAAAGAGAGCAGTGCTGTGGGTCCTGCTTCACAACTCTCAACATCAGTGTAGGCGGAGAAATAAACTACCGTACTGCTAGCTAGCAGCGCCGCAAACTCTACATGGTGACAACAGAAGCCACTTTGATAAAGCTCCAAAGCTGCACACTGTGGACTTTTCTTAACACACTGGAAAACAGATTAAACATTTTCCTCCTCTATGAGACCACCCAAAACACACTACGACTTATATACAGGTACAACCCATATATCTAGATTATACGGTATCCGCCCCTTAAGGCCCGCCCCGACTCACCAAACAAGACTGAAACAAACTTATGGCGACGGAGGCTGACTGTGGCGTCGACTCCCTATGCCTTTGTCTTGGCCAAAGAAGTAGCACTTGAACACACCGCAAAGATTACAGACGACGGCCAACCACCACGTACCTTCTGCACAGGCCTGAGAGGAAATATCTCTTCATGCCAGCAGGCGGCGGTAGTCCTTTTGTTATGATACAAGAAGAACATTTTAACACAGCATTTTCATTCTTCCACCTGTCTTACCTCATGGCGCTGTAGATTGTCTAATAAAAATCTGTCAAATTTAAAGTTACGCACTGCAAAAGCCAACCCTTCACTGAGACCTAGAACAATAACTGGTGTGGAAATATATATTAATGAGGTGTCATACAATGGCTGTGGACGCAGCGCTGGGATTGTAACCCGATAATGGTGGCCTGCAGGGATGTAAACAACAAGCCACAGATGTTCCCTGTGTCTGTCTGTCAGCGCTGACCTTTTCCCTCTGCTGCATGAAACCAGCACTGAACGGGGATCCCCCCAGTTGATACACACACACACACACACACACGCACACGCACACGCACACGCACACGCACACACACACACACACACACACACACACACCAACTGCAGGATACCAGTGCATTGCTCTATCCACAGCAGTAGCCTTCACAAACTCTTTCATCCTGCAGCTGCCCTTTAACTATCTTCAATTTAGACTCCAACAGACTCTGCAGTCTGCTTTTTCTAAATGTTAGCCAGATGGATAATCCATTAAAAAAAAAAAAAAGGCTCAATGCAAGATAAAGCAAGTCTTTCTGCTAAAGGGGGTAAATGTGTTGTCTGCACAAGTTCTCTCACATGTGGAGCAGCACGCAGCGACAAAGGCTGAATGAAGATCTTGACCAGCGGATAAAGGTTTTGAAATGTAACAATGGTTGAGTCAAATGTTAATGCATTTAAGTTATGTGTGCATCACACACCCACACAGAGAAGTGTCATACATGTAGAGCCCATAGTGTGTGTGTTGATGTGTGTGTGTGTGTGTGTGTGTGTGTGTGTGTGTGTGTGTGTGTGGACCTTCTGTACCTGATATCTCCTCCAGGCACTGTTTGGCTGTCTTGCTGTAGACCAGCTCTCCCTTGGTGGGGCTGAGGCAGGGGTCGGCTGGGGCCACCATGGTGCAGTCGTTTTCTGAGAATGTCCTGCAGGCACAAGAGAACAAATAATATTAAAACACAGCCGTTATAAAGACAGGCTGAAATATCTGGTGAACTTAAGCTCGACTACAGCCAATTCTAAACAGCCCCAGAGGGTAGGAGTCGGACACAGCTGCTCCTTTGACATGTTGGTTCATTCACAGGGAAATGAAACAGCAAAATGTTGAATAAATGTTCATTCACATTAACAAAGTGTTTGTTCTTTGTAAGAACAGATAGAGGCCAACCAATGGGAAGATTTAAGAGGAGGAAGATAAACAAACACAGATATTGAAGCTGCTACAGCTGGGAATCACAGGATAACTAACAATATGATAGGATATGTGTTATGTTGCCCATGACAACGATAATACCAAAAAAATATAGAGATTCTGCAAAAATGTGTATATTGTAAGACGATCATATAAAGATACATTACAACATCTGATCAACTTAAGCATATGAAACGCCCCTACAAGGTAAAGACAACGATTGATGTATTCATTTGGTATGAGTTTAACATCTTATCACCCATCATCAACTTTTTTTCACCGCTCTCTGACATGATTCCGCTGTCGAAAACTTCTATTCACATTGCGCTCGTTCATGTCACAAGTGCCACCGTGAGGAATCATGAAGAAGTTACATGGTGAGGCAAATTGGCACAGATGTCTGTCAGGAGCGCAGCATTGAAGAAAATTAGAATTATCAATATTTTGCACCAGCTGGTTGATAATTGTCAAACGAGTCAGGATGATAATTAATATCCGTGTTAATGCTTTTTTCCACTCCTAGTAGCGAAATAGGTTGTCAAGCTGGTACAAAAATAAACTTTTTTGACGGATGTTAAATGTTATTATAACAATGTCAAACAATTGCAACCGCAGTCTGCTGTCCTAAATGAGATAAGAGTGAGAAGACGTCACAATGACATCATCTCTAAATCACCTCGAGCTGTTTCCTGTACCATCCCTCCATATTACCATAAACAGAGACAATGATAGGTCAGTGATAGGCTGATAGTAGCTCCATAATATCAGATAAGTACTTTATCACTCAGGCTTTTAAAGACATGGAAAGATAGTTGGTGAATCTGTCACCATTTTATCTTAAGAATAGAAGTTTTTTTTTCTCTTTCACTGAACTGCACCATTTGGTTTTCATATATTGTGGAGTGGCCTCAGTAGCACAAGGCTGATAGCGACTGAATCAGAACCCTTGTGTTGTAAAGTGAGGTTCAGAAAGGCCAGCAACAGAGGTGATTGTGTTTGTTTTGGAAACCACAATCTTTGCATTCAGTCTGTCGCCTGTGTTTCTGCGACGTCAAACAAGAAGAGAGGCTGAATTTCTGAGTCCGCTTTTAGTCCAAATTCAACAGATGGACACCTCTAAAGAGAGAGGAGGGGACAGTCTCAGATGATATGTTCTCTGCGAGTGGTTCTGAGTGTGTGTTTGTGTGTGTGTGTGTGTGTGTGTGTGTGTGCATCTCCTCATTCCTCCTCCAGCCTGAGCTGCATCACGCTCTGCTGTTTGTTTACTGATCTGAAGTAACACAGATAGAGTCCAACGCATGAGATAACAGTCCTACACACACACACGCACAGAGAACAGAAAAAAACCCACAAAACCTGTCGATAACAGAGTGACGGCCACAGACAAACACACAGCTAAACACTGTGACAGGTGACACACACACACAAAATGAGAAGCATGCAAAGGAACATCTCCAAATAGACCTACACAATCCTAAAATACACATTGTAAATCCTGCATACACAAACACACAGACTATCTAGGCAAAAGCTACAGTATGGTGTTCAGTACCGCTCGTACTCGCAGCACACACACACACACACACACACACACACACAGAAGCAGCGCCGCCGCCGCCACCACCTGCAGAGCTGCAGATAAAACCTGGCTTCCAATTGCGACAGCAGCATCAGCCTGTGACTTCAGCTCATGAGAAAAAGACGTTTTCTTCCCTCGCCTCAGACAGACGGACATCATCACCATCACTACTGCACACAATCATTTGGAGCCATGATGAGAAGGCAGATAAAATAACTGATTACTGCATTAATGAATGATTATTTTCTAACAATGAACAAGGGAGGGGTTAATACCAGAGTTAGCTATTCAATACAAAGCTATGTCACTCCTGCATAAGACTGCATGTTTTTTTTTACCCAATTGGCAACATATGGAGTTAAAAATGAAGCCAATGCAAAGAAACTGCAGTTCTTCGAGGGTCCACTTCAGGCTTGCTGCAAAAGCCACAGCCAAAAGAAATGAATCAACTAGCAAGCTAAACACAGGAAACTAGCTGCAACTTGATTCAAACAGCACCTTCTGACCTCTTGTGTCCATTGAAAAAAAGCACCAGAGACATTCAGATTCTTATTGTGAAACAACATTTTTCAGGGCTTCTAAAGTGATGGTTTACATCACAGGGTCTGCTGGGGTTTGGAGAGGACAATGCCTCTGTGATTTATTCTGCTACTGGAAAAGAAAACATTTGAACAATGAACACTGAGGTGTCAATTTGAGATTTTGATTGTAAAGTTCACAGCCTGCCTACTATTGCATCCTGCCTTCTCTGTTATTAAAAAAAGGTGATTAAAAAAAGAACTGGGGTGTTATTCTATCAAGAAGTTAACATAGGAGGTGTCGCAGTATTTCCCACAATCTTCAACTGATGGAGAAAGCCGTGCAGAAAAACAAATGACAGCTTAGCATCACATTGTAAACCAGCTCCTGTGTATTATTAATGTTGCCTTTTCTAGTCCATGTTTCTGACTCTGAACTGGTGGACAGAGGAGCACACGGAGGACTCAGATAATCACATCACGGAAAACCCTTTGTGTCAAATCAATCCTGCAAACTAAATGCATCAAAAGTCCCACAAGCACACTGCTCTATTAAACTTGGCAGAGGCAACAAGTTAAAGTGGGCGTAGGAAGAGAAAAGACAACAAGACAAAGAAGCCTAATTGGGCTGAAAATGATGGTGAATTGTAGCACAGCAGGGGGCCTGATCACTTCTGTGTCGGCATGCTTGACAGCTTCTGGTGACGAGATGGAAGCTACAGAAACAGGCTCACAAAGAAAAGTCTTATTGAGGAGAAATGTGGAGGAGCGACATTAAAGCGGACTTTACTTTGAAGGCAAGACGTTCAGTTTTAATGCGTCACAATATAATGAGTGGGGTACTTTCAATTTTTGTGCATCTTAGCGACCCCTGCTTTGATGTCTTTTCTCTCTGCTGATTCTGTTCTGCACATGCATGTAATGTATTCATGAAAAGAATCATTCTGTTGTCTTTTAACTGTCACACCTATCCATAGACTGTATGGATGAAGCCTGAGTGACGTCAGCCATCTGTTCCTGCAGGGGGCTCTGGAGGATCATCAGCAGCAGACGCCATGTTGGAAATCCTGTCTCAGTCTAACTTTCAGTCAACTTAACGACAGGCTGAGAGCTGGAGCTGAGGCGGGTTTTCAGCCTCTTGAAGAACCGTTACATCACGCCCACCTGTCAATCATGTCAGCTACACGCCTAACTATGAATAACACATATCGTTCTGAAAATCAAAATGGATCTGTTTTTTAAAAATCACCCACTGTGCCACTGAGAACAATAACTAATCAGACCTATTATGTTTTTATAACAGGCAGTAAATATGTTAATTTATGCTGTAAAAAACTGCTTATTTGGCCTGTGGTGTGACTGTGACTTCAGGTGTTTCTGGAGCCAGCCTCAAGTGGACATTCAACAAACTGCAGAATTTTGCACTTCTGTTTTGGCTTAGTTTTTCAAGACCAGAGGCTGCCACTTGCACCTACCACAAACTGTGGACAATTTCTGGTGGAAAAATAAAAAAAGGTGATTCAGGTCAGCGTGCACAATCTGACACAGAACCTGGTGGCATTGTTGACAGGCAAAATGAACCATAAAGATGTAATCTATACTATTCTTGATGGAGCTTGTTGGTTTTTGAATCAGTATTCATTTGAGCTGGATTCATATTCAGCCAAACACGTCCTCACAGGAGCTCTAAACCTCCTGTCACATCGGCTATTTAAAGGTCACAATTCCAAATCCTCTGACGCCTCGCAGACTGTGTGCATTGTTATAACTGTGTTTCCTTCATAGTGTGATGGAGCCCTCACAGCAGAGTGAGGTAAGATGCTAACAGCCAGACATTTGCAAGAAGAAAATTGTTTAGCAGAATGGTTGATAACATCATTTGGTCTACTTAATTTGAATGCATCACTGCACCAACAAACATGTCAGACCAGCAGCAGCAAGAAATAAACAAAGTTTCCTTATTGTCAAATAATTGCCATCATAGACAGAAAGGTAAATGATATCAGTTAATAAAAGCCTGAATAGGGGTGAGCTGGTGGTGCAATGGTGCAATGTATTGAGGCTGTCGTCTCAAGCGGGAGGCCTGGGTTTGCTTCCACCCGTGGCCCCTTTCTGCATGTCGTTCCCCACTCTCTCTCCCTGGTTTCCAACTCTATCCACTGTCCTCTCTCTTCATTAAAGGCACAAAAATAAATCTTAAAAAAAAAAAAATAAAATAAAAATAAAAAGCCTGAATGACATCATCAGTTTTCTGTCTCATCAATTTCCATTTACTTGTTTAAGTTTGGATGGGAAATGTGGTTTCGGTGATGAAAACACTGCTCGCGCTGCTGAAATGTAGCAGCAGTCGGAGATGTAACCTCAGGCTATGATAACTGTCTAGTGTGTACAGACTCATTCTCCTTGATGCACCACAGGCACACTGCTGCCCGGTAATGTTGTGTTGACCCTCTCAAATGATTCAATTCAAAACTGCCTTTTTCTTAAAGCAGATTACAAGTGTGTCCTGGCTCATAAACTATCCATCATATCCTTTTGTGAATGAAGTGTGCAGCTAGTCAAAGTCACTCAGCCAACATTTAACTGTGTTTTGTTTATTTGCACGATCGATGTGACACAGCACAGAAAGCATAGAGTGGGGTGAATGCATGCAGACATTAACCCTTTTCATTGTGCAATTTTGCAACAGCAATGTAAAGAAGCTCCACCGTCATATTGGCTCCGCAACGGAGTAATGTTGGTGTCCCTGGTTGTGAATTCACATTGGGTTACAGCGTTGCAGAAGTGTGAGAGAGCATGGCACAGTAGGAGCTTCACATACACACAGCGCTGTTTCCCATCCGGTCTCGCCCCGGTGGAGGTGTTATCACTCTACCTCTCCAATTACAGAGCATTCACAGGGAGCGCAAAATGTCCCAGGGTCGTTAATACATCCCACCTCGAGAGGACAGTATGAATAGGCCTATGGTTTTTTATGATAATGAGAGAAGATCAAGAAGGATCCCTATATAAATGGTTGGTATAATTATTGATGCAAAAATCAAATCTTTATTTATGGGAAGTTTCTCAAATGTATATCTAAACCCTTCGCAGTCAGAAATTCAACTTCCAGCATCCCTCTACTAATGCAACATTGGTTCCCAATGACTTGATGGCCTCTTTATAGCTCGTGTGATTTCTGGTGCTGATTTTGCTAAAAAAAAAATGAGTGGGAGTTATGTTGGGAGCTGCTGTACTTGTTCTTTCATTCCTAAAATTGAAATTTCTAGCTTCAGTTTTACGAAGCAAATGTTGTAAACTGAAGCCAAAGAGTCAAAATGTTCCTCAGGGTGACATCACAGATGGTACACTTTCTACAACCACAGTTTCTCCGTTTAGTTTTTCACTCAGTGAGTAGCCAGTCTTGTACTTTTACAGTTTTCCGTTTTGCTTCTTTATAGCTGATTATCACTGACAATCTGCCCAGTACTGATAGCCATGGCAGATTAACTTGCTAAACGTGTGGGATTAGAGTAATGCAAATGCTGGAAAGAGGCACCGCTGAATGTGACGGAGCTGACTGTGCACATCGAAGGAGGAAGACGACAGAGGGAGTAAAGGGTTGAGGGATTAAGTCTTGTTTAATGGGATTCCTAACTCTCTTTCTCTCCGAGCACAAAAGGCATCCCAGAGAATTTGGCGGCTCTTCCATTCCCCCCCCCCTGGATTACCTCTGCTGTTGTAAGAGAAAATCGGCCCTGCTGGGCAGATTTACCCACTTCCTGCAACCCCTGAAAGACGGGGAACCACGAGCCAGCTGCATGCATCAAAACAACACCAGTTGAATGAGAGGGGAAGGGAGAGGGTTCCCGAACACTGTCATAAGAATCCAAGTCTGGATCCTCACATCAAAGATGCATCCCAGACAGTTAAATAATAGGCTTTGGCAAGCGGGAGTCAGTGGATGTTAATTTGTTCTGTAATGACTGTGAAGAGATGTGGAGGCGCGAGCAAGATGCACAGAGGGGAGCGCCAGCTGATTGCTGTGAGTGCTCCACAATATCGTGGTGTGTGAGTGAGTGAACATACTGTATGTGTGTGTGTCTGAATGACTGCAGATTTGACTTTGAGAAAACAGTAAATATGTTGGAGTCTCATGGGGAGTCTTTTAGAGGGATGGAGATGAACAGCTTCGCTCACTCATTGTACTTGTCCATTCATTTCTCTACTTCCTATGAGCCATGAGTTCCCTCTGGATGCTAGTGCATACCAAGTGGAAACTCCAATGTTGAAAACTGAAGCCAGTGTAGAAGCCCCATTTTTACAGGAGAATGAAACATGTTTAAAACCTGGTACAGAGAATTTATTTAGTCTAATCTAATTTATTTTTGAATACACACTGTACAGTGGGTTGGTTTTAATTATTCAAGCCTAAGAGTTATGCATACTTGCATAATAAGGGGTATGAAAGGTTGATTGACAGGTGGAGAACATTAGGTGGATATAACATTTCCAATAGGGCGACCACTATCCTTTGGCTTCCAAACGCCTCTTCAGAAACCAATGGGTGACATCACAAAGACTACTTCCATGAATACATTCTGTGATGCATATACACACATACACTAAGGCAAACATATGAAGCATGTCTCACCTGTACATGAAGGGGGCCACAGTGGCAGTGTTGGGATGGTTGTGCTGCTGCTGCTGAGGAAGCTGAACTACTCCATTACCACCAAGCGCGCCTCCACCTCCTCCACCACCACCTCCTCCCCCTGCCAGCATCCCACTGGACCCGGACAGGGCGGAGGTGCTGGTGGAGGAGGTCATGCTGGTCCTTTTCCCCTCTGGGCCCCCGATGGAGCGCTGTATGTAGAAGCTCCCACCCTGCCCTCCTTTCGTCAGCTTGGCTTTCTCCCCGTCCCCGCCCCTTATGTTGCCGCTGCTGTTTAAGTTGGACTGACTTTGGCTCTGAGACTGACTCTTGGATGTTGCAGTGGAGGGAGCTTTAAGTCCCGGCTTAGGGATGCTGCTACCATCTTTCTTTCCCGACGAAGGCTTCCCTCCCTTGGGGATGAGGCTGGCAATTTTGGAGTTCTTCTTGGTGGGGTCTGTGAATGACTCACGCTCCTCTTTGGGTGGAGAGTTGTCCTTGGATTTCCCAAACTTGCTTTTATCCTCCTTGTCTTTGGACGCGGAGGTGGACCTGCTGCTGTTGGCAGATGATTTAGAAAATGAAGAGGAGGGGGAGGTTTTGCTTGCTGCAGTGAGGGATGATGCGGGGGTCTTTGTAGGCATTTGTTTGGTTGTAGCACTGCTACTACCACTGCTGCACACAGACCCCGTGGGGGTCAATACATCCTCGCCGTACTCCGATAGATCATCTTCCTCCTGCAGAGCCATCTCCGCCATAGATGGAGAGGCCCGTGAAGCCGATCTGGGGTTAATTAAACGGAACTTCTCCAGCATGGACCTCTGGGGTCCAGCTCCACCGGCTCCAGCTTTTGACCCGTCCCCTCCATGTGGGAAGCCGCCTTCAGAGCCCTGGGGTGAGTGGGTGGGGGAGGTCGAGTGTGTGGGGCTCGCCAGCATGGACGACGTGGCACTGTGCTTAAGGTTCATGGACTTGCTGCGCCAGGACTTGCCGGCGGTGGGTGAGGGGATGGCAGAGGCCAGCTGCTGCCCGCTGAGGCTGGTGGGAACTGTCCCACCGATACCGCTCCCATTCATCCCACCCGGTGCTGGGATACCCCTCACCGATTCTACACCAAGGAAGAGAAAAGAGAAACAAAAAAGAGGATGATTATTAGGCTGCGCTTATTTAGTCCTAAAACATAACATGATCGGACTGTTCATCAACGATCTTTAATTGTAAAACGCAAATTCATGAGCAATGTTTTCTAAGGACACTTAACAAAAGGAGCAGATCAAGTCAGTACTCTATTTTATAGAGACCTAACATCAACCCACTGCGAGATTAGCACTTTGAAACATATAGCAAAGTAACAGTGACAAGGAAAAAAAATGTGTTAACAGGCAGAAAATTTAAGTAGAAATAAACTAATTTCCAATGCTACCATTTTGAGGTCTTGAGTTTGACCATTTGGCGAGATCCAACTTGTTTATTTAGAGCAAATAGTGACCACAATAGGATGGGTGGTGAATACCCATTGAGACCTTCACTATTATTATTATTATTCATGGTTTTATTTGTTAGGGACCGACACTATATATACATATACAAACTGAAAGCTGTCGTCCAATGAAAGTATCATAGTGTTTTGAGCGGATGCTAGTTTGCAACACCCGTCCCTAAAAAGGCTTTTTGTGTGAATAAAAGATTCAGACAGTGAAGTTCAAAAGGAAACAGAGAGTGTAAAAGGGGTACAGCATGATACAATAAGACACACATTTAGCAATGACTTAGCTACAAAAAAAATCAGATATGAGTAAAAGTTTGTTCCTTGTTGACAGGCTGCTGTGGTCCAAACTTCTTGTCTTCTATTGAACTCTAACTGGGGCCATTATTAACAAAATGAGCCTCATGTTCTTAGACCATAAACTCATTAGGGAAATATTTCAGACAATCTCTGGTATTTACTTCATTTGTTTTTATTCTGTGATTTATTCTTGTACATGGTATCTCATTTTGAACTTTTTATTTTCATAGTTGTTGTATTCACTTTTCAGTGACTCTGTAAACTCAGTGACTCTGTAAGGTTTTTTTTTTTTTTTAAACATTCCTGAAAGTTTTGAGCCTCCACTTAAGTTCTGATTATGGAAAACTGTCACAGTCTTCCTGGAATTATTCTTCATGAGACATTACATTTTCTAATGTCACAGTTGGATCCACTGCTGTTTCCATCGATGATTTTACACATTCAACTCACTCAGGAAAAAAATGGGAAACTTTCAGAGGATTCAGTTTGGTGTAAAGTCAAAAAAAAAAAGAGAGCGCTCATTCCCAATCGGCAGAATATCAAGGCAGGTTGTGTGAAAGGAAAATATGTCAGTTATTACTACAACTGGCTTCTCGAGGGATTTGCACTCAAGTGTGCCGTAACTTCCTGCTCACACTTCCATCCTCTGATTTCCACTTCTACAGAGGCCTGTCACAGAGTGTTTGCAGGTGGATAACAGTGATTATAAGGGACAGGCCGGCATGTTGTAGCCATGACACCGAAAGAGATTGCACCAGCTATGTTTACCAAGAAGGAAAGAAAACCAGTCATACCGTATTCACTGTCCAACATTATCAGTCTTTGAAGATCAATATGTTTTAAGAGTTTGAAGAATTATTTCTAATATGCTGTGAAGGAAGTTTCCCTGAACATAACTACTTTTTTTTTACAAGTTATTCTGGGATTCTATTGGATTCATCCGTGTGATACATGTCCAAAGGGATTGAAGGAGCGGGGAAGAAATTGAGCTTTTCTACCTTTTAAAAAAAGTGAGCTCTACAACCTTCATATGTCTTCCATATTGAGGCTGCAGTGAGTGTAGAAACTGGTGTGTGAAATGTGAGCTGAAATAAGCTTACCAGTCACATACTGTAAAAAAACAAATATCTGAAATATTTCCTGCTTTTAAAAATAGAACCACTGATATGAGCTTTTCATAAAGTCCTGAAGTTTAGCTTTTTATAGCCATGTTTAAGTGTATAATGCACATGGTGGATTTTAGGTTTGAGTGACATGTAAAGGTACCCTGTGGAGTTTTGACCTGTGGTTAGAAACACACAGTCTTAACATGTTTCTTTGTTTTAGAGAAAACTCTACAAGGTACCTTTAACTTCAGGAATGGCTTCAAGCATATTGGGTAGGGGCTCCGGCAAATGCACGTACACTGAAGTGTAGTGGTACTTTGTTTTTGGGATGCAGGAATTGTTATAGTAACACAGCAGATTTTCAATAAACATTTAAAGGAGCAATATGTAACTCTGACACCTAGCGTTTCTTCATTTGGTACTACAGTCCAAATGTAAAACATTGGAGAAAACTGCCCACTCCTCCTTAGAGTCGAGATGCAGGTTGCTATGTCACGAACACAGAAGCTTCAGTGTTTAGCCAGCTTTGCATCGGTCTTTGCCATCAGTCATTTAATAATAATGGAGCGACTGATGGAGTGGAGGTGTCCAGTTGACTGACAGGTGGGCGCGTTGTGGCTGTTTTCCACCTCCACCTCTTTTCCTGTTTCTAGATTGATCTTAAGTTAGATGGAGAGAGCAGATCCAGTCCAGCGACGGCCATGGTCGGGCCTCACAACACCTCTTCAGAAACCAATGGGTGATGTCGCTGAGACCATGTCCATGTTTTATACAGTCTATAGTTTTAACTAAATACACAGATCTAAGAAACATGTTGAGTCATTGAGAGCCTGTATTGTGATGCCAATAAACAGCCTTAACATATAAGCCTGTGTTATACAGCAGAACTCACTGAAATACAGAAATTAAATGATTTGAAGAGTCTGTCATACATGCAGACATTCAAGAAAAAGAATGTGGCACAAAGTGTGAAAATTAAAACTCTATATTTTGCTACTGAGTGCCTCTACATGCTTTGGAGCTTCTTATTGAAAATGTTGCTTTTTACTGTTTATATTTGGGCCTCTTCATATACGTTAACCGGCCCGATTGCTGAGTCATGATGCATTACAGATATGTTTACCTCTGCCAGGTTTTCAGTCAAATGGTGCAAAGAAAATAGAAACCAGCTGAGCCAAACCACACACACACACACACACACACACACACACACACACACACACACACACACACACACACACACACACACACACACACACACACACACACACACACACACACACACACACACACACACACACACACACACACACAGACACACACACACACACACACACACACACACACACACACACACACACACACACACACACACACACACACACACACACACTAAATGCGTGTGAAATAAATGTTTTAGAGTCTGTCGCTGTGCATTGACCTTTACAGCCCGTCACATTTTTCCTGTCTGGTTGATACTCCGACCATCAGCACTTCTCTTTTCCTCCCTCCCTCCCTCCCTCCCTCCCTCCTGTCTCATACAAACACACACCAACACACACAAACAGGATCCACTACCTGACAGATAAGTATAGTATTTAAATGTTACAGAAAACAGGCATGCACCAGCAGACTGAGATGCATTTCCTTCCGGATATGACTTTGAGTCCACTTCAGAGGCAGAGTAAGAGAAGGGAATAAGGAGAGGAAGGCGACAGAGTGACAGCATGAAGTTATGCACCATTAGACTGAGCGTCTGTCTGGCTGTCAGTCAGCACAGTGAGCAGGGTTCAGCTGGCTGAGTCACCATCAGTCTGCACTTTAAAGCTCCTTCGGGCAGGCAGGCAGGGGATGTGGGGGGACTGGGGACAAGAGACTATAACTGGCTTACACACTTTTGACAACATTCACTGAAACTAAAACCTTAAAACATGCCTTAAAAACGCCTCAGTGAACTACGTCACATCCAAGAGAAGAGTGTTATCTGTTAGTCTACAATACAGACAATTTAGATTATAAAATCTAAACGGGAATCTAGCATCTTATTGTACACTATCTAATAATGGTGAGTGTATTTAGTTTTCTCTTTATGTCTTCTTTCAAATCAGGAAATATTCTGCTGCTCCAATTCTTTAAAGACTGCATTTTTGCATCCGTTACAAATCAACAGGTGTAACCCTGCAAGTCGTCTGTGCTAAACTCCACCCTCTTGTCCAAATATGGTCACTTCTGGCTCCAGAAAAGAAACATTTGATGATGGTCAAACTAACCAACTGATTAAGTCATGGCTGTTATGTCTTTCTTCTTCCTATACAGCTAAGGGAAAAAAAACCCAAAATCAGCTTCTGTAAAGAAATGACACTCTTATTTTGTATTTCTGTGTGTGTGTGCTTCGACAGCCAACTGATGCTGATATTAATTTGGATTAAAGAGAGCATCCTCTACTTGTGCTTGTGTGTGTGTGTCCTCTGTTTTACCCCTCATCTTCAGAGACAGTGCGACAGCCCTCAGGCACCGTTTGAACGTGAATGAAAGAGGCTACAAGTGTTTGTGTGCGTTTGTGTGTGTTCCTCTCTGTTTGTGTGTCCACTCAATTAACCCTGTCTTAAGAGAGCCCCCCCCCCCCCCCCCTCCCACCCCCCACCACCACCACCTCCAACCTCTCTCCTCCCTGCTCTCTCATCCCCACCCTGGGGGCTGTTTTGCAGCGCCACCACTCTTTTAACCGAGCGGTGACTTGTCGTTTCCATGGCAACAGACTCTTCCTTCTTTTCTTTTCTCTTCAGCGGCCGAGGAAAGAAATGTCACCAGCTTCTGGGTGGTGGCGGACCCTCTGCTAACACAACAAGAGCTGAGAGCCTTTTCTTTGATGGAGACGTTTGAAATGACACATTTATGCTCATCATGCATATTTACTCCATGTCTACTGGTCAATTAAAAACCTGCAGTTTGTTATGCACGTTTGACCTTTTAACTTAACTCTGCAGCCTTTGTTGTTGATGCATCTATCGCGCTCTGGGTTGGATGCTTTTGAACTTTGGCTGCTCTTCCCGTTACATCACCGTCAGACAGATAATGAATCAGCGTCTTGCTGCAGGAAGTCTGCAAATTCTCCACTCAGTTTCAGAGCTGCAACCCTCATCCCCGTTCTTTATTTATTTACTTATTCAAGTCTCTTAAACAACAAAACGACATGTCCTTTGGTTCTTGTCAGTCAGCTGAAGCTAATTAGCTAGTTGCATGGAAACAACAATGATGCAATGCACGGTGTGCCCTCTGAGCTCTTTGGTCAGACTCATACCAGGGTATGAGTAGAAAAGCAAAACAACACTCTTTAACGGGTGCTCCTCATTCCATTCAGACATTAATTCCTGTATCAAAAAACATGACTTTCCTCCATTTAACAGCAGATGAGGCTAACTATGTTTGGAGTAACCACGTGAAACCAAAACTGGCTCAAGAGTAGAATCTCAAGAAAAGTTGTGGACAAGAATGAGAAAAGTTTGAAATGTTCCTCAACCTGTCTTCTGTCACATCAAGCAGAGTCCAGACTTCATTACCAGATCATATGTTTTCAATACCACGTGTGATTTCTGTCCAGGTTAACACTGCGCCGCTAACAAAACCTGTCAATCAATTTATCGATTCAGCAAAATAAATTCACACACTTTTCAAATAAATCCATTGCAATCTTAATTTGCCTTTCAACAAACAAAGGAGGTCAAAGTGGATGCTGAGACTAATGTTTACAGAGACTAAGAAATAATGGATATGAAGTAATAATTAAATTAGTATTGTGAGATTCTCAAACATATAAAATGATTACAGTGAACAGTACATGGTTCAAAAGTAATCAAAGATGAAGTTAGAGTCTCACCCTGGTGGTTTTGGCCCTTTCACCTTTTTTTCTCACTGACAAATCTGAAGCTAGAACCTTGTGATGTACTCAAAACATCTCAAGACCACTATCCGGAGTCTTTCCCTCTGCCTTGTCTCGGTCTCAGACTTGGCGGACTCCAGATTTTAAATCAACACCACCACTGAAAGGCCATTTTTCCACATCACTACTGCGAATAGAAGGAAAACTCCTCTTTCTAAAAGAACAAATAACTTCAATTCATTCATAATTTCATTTTATCGCCCTGTTGCAACCTTCTCAGTGTTACGGTCTAAGTGAGTGACACGCCCACTGCACACAAGATGATTTTTCACTGATATTTATGCTCTTGGTCTCGATCCCTAAATGTCTTGGGTCTTGTCTCGGTCTCTGAGCACTCTGGTCTCGGGTATGTCTTGGTCTCGGTTAGTGTGGTCTTGACTACAACACTACTAGAAGCTCATTGTTTAAACTATTTTACTTAATAAAATTAATGTGTAAATGATCTGTTCATGTTTTTTATGTTAAAAAATAAAGGTTTATAAAGTTGAAAGTAAAAGATAAGGTAAGTAAAGATATGGGAACATAAGGGGGGATATCAAACTATTTGTTGGGGATAAATAAACTCCAGCAGATGTATAAAAAGACTCGTGGGAGACACTTCCTGTATCTGTTTGTGTCTCCTGCTTTATCTGCTACCTGCTTTTTGCCCAGAAGGCTTCAGTCTGCATCACTGACATTTCAGCACAATTGATTTTTTTTTTTCTCCCCTTCCACTCTGGCCCAAAACACTGTTTAATCTCTCCTGTAGTGAAGCTCCAACGCCTCCCGTCTTATATCTCTGCAAACTCCAGGTCCTTCAGCCGGGACTATAGGAAGAGGACGTGTCCACCGTTTAAAGAAAAACAGTAAAGAATAAAAAGAAAGTGATCGATTGAATCCTTTATATTACTTGGGTTTCTTAAAAGATAACTCATCAATGGATCCCATCACTTTCTCCAAATGTCCACCTCCTCTTTGCTCTCAGTTTTAAAGTTTGAACAAAAGACAAATGGGACAGGATACTGTTTGGATTGAACACAAGAAAGACAGACTCAAAGAGAACGTCTTTGGGCCTTATTTTGTACTGCTACATGATCCCACTCACTACATCTCTCCTCCACCTTTATCACCCCCTATTGATCCCCTCTCCACTCCACAGACTAAACCCTGCAGTGCACTCTCTCAGTGAACGGGCGATGCTTCAAGATTTAAAGCAAAATGAATGATTGCATATTCAGCATGTGCCTTGCAGCCCAAAGCACATGCTGTCATTATCACATCATTAACTATTCAGGAGAGGTTTGAATTATTATCATCTGCATGAGCGGATGAGTAATGATTAGTCTTCTCAACGAGCAAAAAAGGAAATCTTAAAGCTATTCTAAATAAAGTGTCTGACGGCAAATATTTGAACATTTAAACGAACATCGTAGGCTGATAATTGTAACTCCCAACAGAGAGAGACGCTGTAATAACAAGCATTTACTTAAAAACTACCGTACAAAACACCGACTCTGAGCTACTGTAGGACTCTTCTCTCAAAGGCATAATCACTTTCATTAGCTCCATCATGCTTGACAAGAGAAGCCGTTTGAGTTTTGCACCTGCAGTCATCTCTCAAATCTCTCCACACTGTGAGAATCTGTCACCGCCTCCACTTTGTGGCAGCCATTAGAACTCACTTGGAATAAAGAACTGGGGATGATTCAGCAGACTGGTTTAGACTGGTGAAGGAGGGGGGACTGGGCTTCTCTGCAGCCCTCAGCTTGTCTGTCTAAGCCAGTGGCGCCACCAAGTGGCAGGGATGGAGAATGTATAATCAGTCAGACCCCCTCTGTGTCTGAAGCAGTAACATGTGGTGCTCACCTCTGTCGTTGCCGCTGGCATACTGAAGAGGCTTGCTCTTGTCGATGCTGTTGAAGCTCTGGCTGCGACGGTTGAGGTTGGAGGAGCCCGGGCTCCTGGAGGCCCCGCTGCCTGCAGCAGGAACCCTGGAGGGGCCTGGTAACCTGCGAGGGTAAAGAGACGGTTTGGAGTTTTAGTTCAGTTTAGAAAAGAGAACAAGCTCCTCTGTTAATCAGTGGAAGCACACCACTGGTTTCAATTTGTCTCTACAACATGACAATATCACTTCTTGTGGAGGTTGGAAATCAAAAACAATGAAACTTTAGGGACCCAGAAGTTTATTTTTTTCTTGTTGTGGTATCAAAACAAGTGTCATCATTATTTCGCTTTCACTTCATATCAAAGTTTGAAACCAAACCAGCATGTATTTAGACTATGGGAGGATTCCTGAAGAGAACCCAAGCATGCACGGGGAGAACATGCAAACACACACAGAGGCTCCTGTCTGATGGGGACTCGATACAGGAACCTTCTTGTTGTGAGGCAACAATGCAAACCACTGCACCAGCCTGCAGCCTTATTCAATTTGACTAAACAACTTCCAATACCAAATAATGTCTTTTTTCAATTTATCTCAAGACTTTTCCATAAATCTACCACAGATTAAAAAACACATTCTCATTAATGTGTACTACATCTTTTGTTGCATGCATTTGAGTTATTCTGGATATTGATATTCTGGAGTTCATCACAGAGTAACCTGTATTACATTTTTTGGATCAAAATTCCCTTTTTCTGTTTCTGGTGACAGCGTTGCCTCGATGAGCTTCAGCAGAGGGACAGTGAGACACCAAAAATAAACTTCTAAAAGCCTATAACTTCAGGAATCATCACTTGGATTTATCGTATTCAGACTGCTGAATCAGATAAATCTTAGGTGTGCTTTGGACAGGCGTTCCTTTAATGTTCATGCAAGTTTGACTTAAAAAGAACTAGATTTAACAAAATGTGAAGCCCTGGCAGCGGTGACTAGTCTCTCGTCAGACTCAAGAAGACCTGAGGAAGATCAAAAGTTAGACCTTGTACTGAACTGCATGGGCTCTATATAGGGAACATACAGCAAGCAGCAACAAAAAAAAAAAAAAAAAAAAAAAAAAAGGTTGGCTGACTATAAGCTGAAAGAGTCCCTCCATAGTGACCTTGGGCTCAGTGTGTAAGAAGAAGAGAGATGAAGAGAGTGTGTGAGAGGCAGAGTGTGTGTGTTCCCTGGTGGGCTGAGGGAGAGGATGAAAGGAGGAGGTGATCTTTGAGTTTGGTGGAACGACGTGACAGAATGCACGACGGCACAAAAGTTTGCTTCATGGCAGGGTTGACTGAGGTTTGTCGGCTGATGTTACTGAAGGAACTTGTACGATGATGTTTAAGACATCTAAACATCATCTTTTGACTGTTTTGCTTTCTCTCTCTCTCATCCTCCTACAGGTAAAGTTCTTTTCTTCACCTTAAATGACACTGAATACAGAAACAAGGCTTACACTCACACCTACCAAGAAGCTTTGTGTTTTCACTCGGTCTCTCTACACTCGTGCACACACACACACACACACACACACACACACACACACACACACACTCTCATAATCTTTTTTCCCTCTCTGCAGAGTCAAAGCCGCTGGTGTCAAATGTTGATTTGCCATGCTGCAGCTGGAGGATTTTCATGTCTCCCATGAGAGCATTCAAAGAATTATCTCATCAGAAACCTGTTGTTATTCTACAATAACTTTACATTGCAGCTTTTCGATGCACTTTTTAAACATTGTGCTCTCACACATCTGGTTGTTTTATGAGGTCGGCATCTGGCTGAAGGATTAGTGCAAACTTTATGACATCTTGGATCTGTTACGACCATTCATTTTGACTATATGGTTTTCTGCTGTGACTGTCTAAAAGACTTGATTTCAAAGATAACAATTTGTGTTGCAATCAGCACGTTTATTCTGATCAAATACAGCGGCATGAACAGCGACCCAATGCATGAAAAAATCAACCACTAACATTATTTCTGAACTCCATCGTCTAACAGAATTGAAGTGTGCTAGGGGTGATGGATGAGTCAAACAGACAGTGACTTTTATTCAGCAGGCCTGAACTTGATGTGATAGCTCATGTGGACTCCCTTAAAGAAGTAGACACATTTTAATGAACATTATGTAAAGAAAATAAACTGTAAACATTGTAGTTTCTTCACAAACATAATGCTAGTTAATGTCAATTAAGTCATATAATTCAGTGAGTGAAGAAATTGCTGAACTTGTTTTACATAGTTTGAACTCCAACAAGTTTGAACTCAATGAAACTGAGTTGTTTTGTTTTTTACTCAAATAATTGGGAAATATTTCTCAACAAGCTATGATTATGTGGTCAGACTATTCATTATCACCACTAACTTAGGTGCCTATTCGTAGGTTTAGCTTAATTTTGCATTGAAGCCCTGCATGTGAAAAACTGTAGATGGACTGAAATCTAAGTCGAGAACACAAGAACACGTTGCAGTCAAGTACCCTTTTCACACATGCAAAAAAACTCCTCATGTCCTGAAAGTTTCAGGGTGAGCTGCATGTGTGAACACTATCGGCTAAATGTTTCATCCCAAATTTACCTGGACTTTTCTTGTCAGCCACCCTGAGTAAAATCTCCATCGGAGACTCGGAGTGAGCCGCCGTGTGAACACAGCAGGTCAGGAAAAATCCCCACATGCATGCAGGCGGGATTGAAGACTTCCACATGCGTGCCACCAGCGTGCACCAAGCGCAACAACCTCCACGCATGTGAGGCCACTTCATATATTTTTGGTCACCAGCATGTTCTATTCCACTCATTTGTTGTGATTAGCTACCTTTGCACATCGCATCAAAATAAAGGCAAACTAAAATGTTGGACTGAGTTGCCATCTTGGATTTCACCAGTGTCTTTAATACGTCATGTCTTGCCTCCTGAGAAACCCCACCCAAGGGAACAGGGACATACGTGAACAAACAACTCAGGACGTCTTCAGGGGCAGGCTGTCCTGAAATGCTCAAGAATTTTTCAGTAGATGTAAATATCTGCAGGAGATGACGCACACTTTTTTTGTTGTTGTTGTTTATTTATCTATTTTTCTTTTCCATTTAATAATTTTCTACTTCTTTTTTTTTTTCTTTAACAGTATGCTTAACCTGACTATCTATATGCTTGTAAAAAGGAGGCACAAAGCTCGCTCTAGATGCTGCCTGTGTTATAAGCTTTTTAAATTTGAATACTGTGTATATATTTCTATGTATTATTTCCTTTTCACCACTGGGTGTTAAAAATATGAAAAAATATTTGTAAGTACAATGATCGGAAACATTAATGTATTGCAATAAAAGTAAAAAAAAAAAAAAAAAAGAACTTTTCAGCAGTGCATGTGTGAAACCAGCTATAAGACACAACACAGTCAGGAAATACGATAAATGTTAAATGGGCTTGAGCTTGTATATATGTACAGCGTTCTTTCACAAAATGATTTTAGATTGCTTGTTGCATACAGAGACTGGACTAGGAGGAGAATCCGAACATGAGAATATCTGAGAGCTTACCAAATAGATGAGAAACAGCCTAAAAATATCACAAGGTCTAAAAGCTGACAGGCTGCTGCAGGGATATAACATAAAAAAGCAGTAGCAAGCAAGGTGGGACTAAAGGACTGAAGGTAGAAAGTCCTCCAACAAATGGACACCGAGTGACAACCTCGCTGGCTCACAGGGCCTCGGGTGTTTCTGTTTATAGCCCGGTCTTTGTCAGAGTTGAGAAGGAGAGAAAGTAGCCTTGAACAGATCCAAAGCAACTCGGTGACTTTTTCTGTCTCCCTGCCTGGAAGCTGTCGTGATGTCCTTTAGCAGAGATAATTGATTTGCTACGCTGGATATGTCACTTGCGTCTGTATCGCAGATGGAGCCGAGATGTCGGGGAGGAAAGTTCTTTTAAAGGGTGGAATCCTGAAGTGGTCAAAAACCGACAGCAGGAATATAAATACTTCTTTTCATGTGATGGGTTTAGTGTTTAAAGTCTTAACTTGATCAAACTAAACAAATAGAAGGACTGATGAAGTAAAGGAGAGTTTAAAAACATTTGTAAAGAAATACTGACCACAACTGCAACCAATGATGTTTTTTTTTCCTATTCCAATTTAACTTTATATCAATCTAGAAAGCTAAGATAGGCTTGATAAAAATATGTTTTAGACAAACTGATCCACCTATGACCAATACTCATAGTTCAACTTTAAAGGTCAGAGTAATCCAGCGCACACCAGGATTGTTCAGATTGGGTTTAAAGTTTAATGCATAAAAAGCATTGAAGTGAAAATTAGCGTCAGGTGTGGGTTTACAAGACTTCAAGACGTTTGGGTGTCATAGTCTTGTAAACTGAGACCTGACGCTCATCAAGTGGAGAGTGAACCTGAGGAAGACAAATCCATCAAGTTACTCATAGTTCAACGTTTAATAACTTTTACTACAGAGGCTGTATGACTCATCAAATTAACCATCAGCTGTATGCTTCTGCAACCACAAGCAAAAAGCAATGCAATGATCATTCTGCACTTTTTCTATTGCAGCAGAGGGACTTGAATGACTCTGTAATTGCAGACATTTAAGTTCGCTTTGTTTGTCTCCCTTGAAAAATAGAGCAAGGCTCAGCGATGAGGTGACCTGCACAGCATGCAGTCTGAGTTTAAAAACGGCCTTATGTGCTGAATCGTGCAAAAATAAAATATGCTTAAATGCAAAAAATGACAGGGCCCATTCTGTTCTTTTAATTTCCCCATATCTTAAAACATCAAATTTTTTAGGTACAGCGCAAAACCAAGCACACACACACACACACACACACACACACACACACACACACACACACACACACACACACACACACACACACACACACACACACACACACACACACACACACACACACACACACACACACACACACACAATGATCAGAGTAGCTGTAGGGCGCTTATCTCCCACAGGTACAATCAACAAGAGAAGAAACAGAGGAAAAATCAGAGACCAAACAATTACGAAAAAGGAAGAAAAACAACTTGGAAAGAAAGGAAAAAGAACAAAGGAAAGTACTGAGA